TCATATATATATAATAAAAGGTAATTTTATCTTTTTATTTTCTATTTCAAATTATTATTACCAATCAAACACTGTAATAAGTCATAATAATTATTCTTACTCTATTCTATCAGTCATATCAAATTATGTAATAATTATTATATTCTATTCTCATGTAATAATTATTTTATTTCATTCTTATCTATTTTATGAACTAAATGTATTATAAAATTATAATAAAAAATAAAAAATAAAAAGAAATAAAGGGAAACCACACGTGCCCTCAGTACTAAGATAAAAAATAATTTATGGAATTTCAATGGATTGATTTTTTTTTTTTTTGTTTTTCTCATTTTCTTTTAACAAAAATATTTTGTAATTATTACAGATTTTAGATGAGAAAAAAAGATGATCCTCTCTTTGATATATATATATATATATATATATATAAAATCGTTTAGTTATTTCCCTTTTTTCTTGGCAAGTTATTATTTCCATTTTTTCTTCTTTTATTGCCATCAACAAAATTTAATCTAGCAAATGTTGAGGAAAAAAAAAAATCATGGAACAGCTATTAAAGGCTTGTTTGTTGTAAAAATTATTGAATAATTAGTTACAGTTTTTGAAGAGTATTTATTAACGCAGTGTTAAGAACATTTTTCCATAAATAAAATGTTCACATTTAATATAATAATTGACAAAGTAATTTAATAATTTTTGATTCATTGCATAAGTATATTACTTTACAAGCTTGCATGAACAATATCATGCATAACTTACCAAAAGAAACGAAGAAGAAGAAGAAGATAATATTATGCAAAATTAATTGAGATTATTTCATTTTACATGATTAGAGTGACATAAAATAAAGATAATTTGCATGTTAATTTTGTTTTATTTTTTTGGTAATATCTTAAAAAATTAACTGAGCCAAATAATTATTGCGGAACAATATTTCTATTTTCATCCGGTCTTCAACCTTCAATCCGGCTGACATGGCGGGTAAGTGGACCACATCCGGGTAGACAAAGAATCCGACCGCAGACTCATAACGGGTAAAATAAAATAAAAAAGACAAAGAAAAAAGGCACCTCAAAAAAACTCAGCATCTTTTATCTGTTCCTTTGCCGGCCAAGGGGAAAACGAAAAAAAGAAGAGAGAGAGAGATCGGAATATGCCATTGGAGCCCCCGGTCTTCCAGGAAGCAGCACGCTGCGACGTCTGCAAATGCAGCTTCAACACTTTCAGGCGCCGCGTATTTTCTTAATCTCAATTTATTATTTTTTATTATCGTTTTTTGTTTCTACGAATAAATTACTTATCATTTTCCTTTAATCTGATGAAATATATCGACGGATTTTTGGTTTTCCTTTTTGACGGAGATTTTAGCGATTAGGTTTATTATTGTGACAAATCGGTAATCATACAGATTATCATGGAGTGCGCTTTCTTTGCTTTGATCTCAGCTGTTTGACTGATCGATTCGCGCTAAAGATAACTGTTTCAATGCGTTGAATTTGCTGATTCTGAGTTCTTTTGAATATAATTGAGTTTTTTAGTATGATTTAATTTTGAGGCGATAAATTGGTAATTGGAAGTATTGATTATCCAATTTGCCTGCTGTTAGTGGCTAGGCTTACTGCAATCTCAATCGAAGATTGAATCGGGTCCATATGTGATGTTGTGAGTTTAATTTCAGGTGCGTGACTGCACGATAATGTTTGTCTGAAAACTTCAGGCTGTTAACATAATTCAATAGTCCAGGCCTATTATATGTATACTATTAGTGGGATAATTCTTATGCAAGACTACAATGCGTCCGTAAGGATGATTCAAAGGTGGTGCGATCTTAAGTTCACTGAACTCTATAAATCTTTTACTGTATCCACTGTGACTAAAGTGATGTTAGTATGCTATTGTTCATGTTGATGTTTCCTTGTTAAAAAGAAAAGTAAATGTAAATATACATACTGTTGTGTGCAATTTATCTTCAAAGTAGGTGTGAATCTAGTCTATGTTAGACAGATTGCCATTGGGAAAATACATGAAATCAAATGGTTTGTCTCTTCTCCTTTTCGCAGCACCATTGCCGATGTTGTGGGAGGACTTTATGCCACGAACATTCATCAAATCAAATGGTTCAAGCTCCCATCCCCTCTATTTATATATTTGGGTTTACTGTGCATTTCTCAAGTTGTAAAAGTTTGGATAAATAAGCTTTAAGCAATCTTTTCTGTTCTCTTTCCTGTGCAAATTCAGGCTTTACCACAATTTGGCATATACTCGGCTGTTAGAGTTTGTGCAGATTGTTTCAATGACTCTTCAGGGTAAACCTTTCTTAATTGATACATATACTATCAATCAGTTGTCTTACATGCATAATTTGATCAAGACGCTAATAACCCTTGTACTGGAATAGAATATCAAATTTGATTATATTGATATCTGTTCTACGTATAATATCAAAATTCTTTGAAAGAGAGAGGGATGGGAAGGAAGGGGGAGTGTTGCTTGGACTTCCATATGTCTTAAGATTTTTGGTGGTAGTGGATGCCTTCTACTCTTGCCTCACTTAGCTTTTCTTATTTGCTTCAGTATTGTTTTAAGAGGCCATTTCTTTATGATTTTTCATTTTTCTTTTTGTTTCTTTACATGGTTTTCTCGTGGATTTATATGGGTGCAGATCTAGGAAAGCTGATCCTCAGCCTTCTTTAGGTGGAGTTGATTCTGTTATAGACGAAGTCTCTAGATTAAACATTAGTGCAGATATGGGTTCAAAAACTGAAGCAACTGCAGGGCATCAGCCTGTTGCAAGCATTCCAGATTGCAAGTGTGGAATGCCTTTGTGTATTTGTGAATCTCCAGCACCAACCACAGATGTGCTTCCACTTCAGGTATGAACTCTTCAGTAGTTTAAGCTGCATCTCATATTCTGTTCCAAGCTTCTTACGAACTCATATTTGTTCCTGGGGCAGATGAAAAACCCTTCAACCTCTGTGGCTTCGTCAAATCCAAAATCAAAGAAGACTGCCACTGTTCCAAAGAGTAAAGGCTCCACTTCAAACAGCAAATCTAGGTATGCTATCTTGGAATTTTTGTATTCAATCTTTGTTCCTCACTTCTTCCAAACATAATGGTTTGATGTATTAATTCTTGTGCAATTGAGCATGGAAACCTTAACTATTTTTGGCCCACTCAACTGTACTCTGGCCTGAGTTAATTGAAACCTGAAGCTGGATGCTAGTAAAATCATGGCCTTCTGGTTTGAGGCATAAAACACTGAAATCAATTTACCTTCTCTCTTCATCTTGCTTGCCTATTGGCAGTGGGCCTGATAGAACTATCTAGAATTGATTTTAATGTAGTGGAGGATAATTGTGTGAGGAAGCCATACTTTTCCACTTTTCTGGCCATTTCATTCTATTTCATGGCCTTCTTATTCTCCTCCTTTTCAATGTCCCATGGTCTCCTTCCTTCTCATTATCCTCTTGAGATATCATATGTCATTAAGTTCATGATTTCATTTTTTGTTTAAGTCTCTAGCCTCTTTTGGTGACGTATTTTGCTGTCTATTTTATTGCACATTTTTAAATGGGTAAAATTATGCAGCTTGGCTTTCAATCCTGGTCTGGTGGCAAATGGTACTGCTGCAGATAAACCCCGGATGGATTATGATGTCAACGGAGAGGTAGAGCTCTTTATGAAGTATTTGAATAGTCATGAGAGGTTCAAGTTTTTGGGGATTTTACTTCTTTTGAATTATGTACTTATGCATTTGCTTTACTCAGGGTTTAAGAGAAGCTATAAAGAATGGTGATACTGCTGCGGTCAAGAGACTTCTTAGTGAGGTATTTTACAATTTTACTCCAAAATTTCAGCTGGTAATGAATTTTAAGTATGATTACATGTGCAGGGTGTGGATGCTAATTACCATGACAAGCAAGGATTATCTTTGCTGCATCTGGTACTGCTCTCTTTATCTCCCTCTCTTTAGTATATTTGTAGTCCTTTACATTTACTTGAAGGCTGGCTGATTGATTACATAATTTTAATTTCCATTTCAGTCCAAAATTTAAATGACACTAATGACGTGATAAACTTGGTGTAGGCGGCACTCTTCAATCGAACTGATATAGTATTTGCCCTCATGGAATGTGGAGCAAGCATGGACTACAAGAACGCACAGGGTAATTTATTATTTATGAGTTTTCGGCATTCCTGATTTTAGAATATGTCTATCTACAAATCGAAGAGCTCAGGTAGAGTTTTAAGGTTACTGAAGGTTGAAAATGTCGTTGGAAACTCCTTTGAGTTGTCTAATTAGGACAAAATGGCTTCTGATATAATTATGGCTTTGAGGGGACAAGGTTAAAACGAAAACGAAAAGACAGAGAAGAACTCTCACCTTCAATTTGGAAGAATGAAAGTATGATACTCAATCATAGCTTTCTTTAATGATGTTAGCTGTTACCTAGAAGTCCATAATTGAGGACTCTCCTTCCATTCGCATGTCTAGCTTTGATGTGTATGCGTCTGTTTGTCTCATAATTATGCTTTAGCTCTTTCTAACCACATCAATTCCAGGAGAAACACCATTGGATTGTGCACCGGCTACTTTGCAATACAAGATGCAAATGAAGATGAGAGAGAGTGAGCAAGCATGAAATGAACCAGACAATGGAATTGGAAGGAAAATGCATACTTTCCTCTGTTAACCGACATGTTCTATCTCTAGCTGTCAGTTTTCAGCAAGAAATTGTTGATATTGTGCATCATGCTGTCAATTTCAACCAGAAATTATAAATATAATGTTGCAAGTGTTTGTATCATATCTGGTAGACAAACCGTCAAACAGGCTGCACGACATGGAAGCTCAATCAAAATGCTGTTTTTTCCTTTGTTTTTGATCATCTTAAGAATGCTGTTGTGAGGCAATAAAAGTTTCTATTATCTGAATCTATAATTTATATATTATATATAATATTGAAAAAAAGGGTCTTTTTTTTTTTGTTATATTTCTAAATTGTTTTTTTAAATATTTTTGTTATTAATATTGATCGAGCTTATTTAATTTATAAATAATAACTTAATTGCATTGAACAATTTATAAATTAATATTACAAAATTTTAATTATATATAATTAAAATATTAATTGTTTTTGTATATACTCGTCTTTCAATCATAATTATCATTACTTTATAAATAATTAACTTTACATTTTAAATATAATTATTAAAATATATAAAAATAAAAACTTTATGCGCGCAATACTTATTCATTAAAAAAAAACTATCTGATTATTTATGTTACTGTTCTGGTAACGTGTAACGTGCGAGAGGATGAGATGGGTCAATTTGGTCGGTTGATGAACTTGGCTGTTTTTCTTTTGTTCTTTTCCTGTTTTTTAATCTTTGGGTTTATCACATTTTATTCTTTCCTTTTTTTTAAACCCATTAATATTTATACTTTTGTGAGATATTTTGAAAATGCAACTCTTAAAATAGCATTAATTGCTCATCAAACTAAAACTTATTTATATATAAAAACTTTATCTTATTCCTTTTTATATGACTGTTCAGACTCACTTCATGTCTGCAATATCCTTAAAACAAATATAGATGAAGACTGTTCAATATTTGTTTTCCCTGAATTGATGTAATCTCTTTATACTTTGTAGTTGTTGATTATTCTATCAGGTTTCACTGCTTACCTCCCATACACAGAATTCTTCCCCGTTCTTCGAATCATCAATACTTACCCCTCATTTATATCTGCTGCAAAGAAATGGCAGCAAGCTGATTGCTTGTATGCTTGTAAGTAAACAGAGTTTCAGTAGGGTCAGGGAACGAACTTGAGCTGATTACATTCTCATGGCCGACCTGTTTTTATAGATAAGATGGACCATTCTTTGCTCAGCCTTTATGATAAACCTTGGATATATATGGAGTTTGCAGAAAGATATTACAGCAGCCACCTTTACCTAGTCACTAACTTTAATGAGGGGCACATCAATAGTTGTAAAATGTAATAGCAGTCTTTTTTATATTGAATCAACCTTGGCAAACAGCGTGTTCAAAGTGTTTGCTCTGTGCTAGTGGCGAGGGGTAGATTTATAAATTTTTTTGAAAAGCGTCATATTTATTTATTTTTTGATTTAAAATTTATTAAGAGAGTATTTAGATCAAATTTAACAATACTTTGTTTAGAAAAATATTTTTGAGTACATTATTAATGGAATTCTGATATTATTGTTTGATATTTGAGTTTGTGAGATAATTTCTTTTCTTTTAAAGTATCTTTTCACAGCTTAATTATCTAATATTATAAAATTAATTAAAAATTATTATTTATTATATGAATTAAAATATTAAAATTAAATAAAATATAATTTTACATAATAAATTATCAGGGTTAGTAATTAACAATATGACAAATTTTTATTCATTGATCAAAATTAAATATAAGTATCCACAAGCTACATAAAATTAAATACAAAAATTAAATAAATAAATAATACATCTAAAAAATAAATAAATAAACTCTCAATTTTAAGATATTATTTGACATGTAATACTATTTTCTATTAACTATGTTATAATTATGAATCTAAATTATCAAATTAATTAAAAAAATATTTAGATATGAAGTATTTAAAAATTTAATTTGAGTTGAAATTAAATTATTACAATTAAAGTTTAGATGAATTATTTTTAAAGAATTAAAAACACAGTTAATGAACAAAAAGATGAAGGATTTGAATTTATAAATAGAGAAAATAGTTTAAGTTTTAAAGTTTTTAATAAAATCTTAAATTATAAAAGAATTTTTTTATTTTTTTATAATATTTAAATATTAATACATAAATTACTTTTTGATAAATGTCCTTTACTTAAAATTTTTGACTCAATTTATTGTAAAATTATAAAAAAATAACATTATTAATATATTAACTATTCTGAATTTTAAATAAATTGTATAAAAATTAAAATATTTTATTTTGAAAAATGAGTAGTGTGATGTGACAACACTCTCTCCAACATACTCCCTCCCATGGGTCCGCCCATGCTGGTGGCAATGGATAGGGTTTTACGATCCCCTCTGCTTTACTCGTTCCATTCATTCAACAAAAATCTTCCCGTAATCATGAGTTTGCCAGCGTTGAAAAATGATCAAAACCTGACCCAGTCATGCATGCGGAGACCGGACGGAGGTTCCTTAAACAAGTGCTAGCCTCATGCGTCTGCATCCATTACCAATATTTCTTTCAATTGCTTTTTAGGTAAACCAGGCGTCCTTTTTCCGGAAAGACAAAAACCATGGTTCTAAGTTTTCTCGGTTGTTGTTTCTTTCATTCTTTATGCATATGTTTTCCCCACTGCCCATTTCTTTTCCAAGTTAAAATCGTAAAAGTAAAATAGGAAATGGTAGTGCCTCGGTGGGATCTGACTGGGATTGTGTGGAAACCAACGTGGGATGGGTCTGCTTCTAACGTGTCATGTAGAAAGCAAGCAATCTTCTCTGTGATTTTTTGCATACGGTATGGTCTTTCCTTTCCTTTCCTTTCTACCTAACATTCTAAAATTAATCTGGCTCTTTGTTTGAATATTGGATGGATGATGATGATGTGTGATGATTAAAATGGGTCATTGCTCTTTCCTTTTCCTTCTCCTTTGCTTTTTATGGCTTAGGATTCGAGCTAAATCGAATGCCTTCGAGTACACATCAAATTCAGAATGAATCAGGCAGCAGTCAGCAAAGCACATGCGACAAGCGAGTTTCATCCTACAGCATGGGACCAGTTGCACCTGTATCAGCCTAATTATATAGTGCATGGTCGGATAATTTACATGACAAGAGCCGGTTTGAGTCCCATCAATTAGGAGAAATTTTATTTTAAAAATAAAATAATAATTTAAATGATAAAAACCGGTTCATATTCAGGTTCACTCTGAACCCGATTTGATAAAAAGTTTGATCAATTAAATTACAATGTGAGTTTTTAACGTAAACTATCAAATTTTAATTTAAACAGTTCGATTGATCAGTCCAATTTAATTTTAAATTTTATAAACTTAACTTGTCAAAAGGGTTTTCTTCTCTTTTTAATTGCTTCTTTTCGTTTTTGAGTTAGACGAAAAAACTTACCACATTATCCATTTAATAATGTTGATATTTAATCTTATAAATTAAAAAAATTAAACAACAATGGCTACGGTTAATGCTGTAAGTGCATATTTTTTCCCCCTGCCATACAATTTTTTCTCTTTCTTTTTATTATAAAAGAGAAATTGATCATGTTCATGAGTTCGTGGCCAACAATTTTTTGTAGTACTAGCCAATCTTTTTGAGACGTTCTTTACGAAGCAAAACACCAGATTCATTGGGTACACCCACAATCTCATGATCCGATCCACTTACTTTACTTTAATCCTAACTTTAACCCACACGCTATCTCCTAGTCTCCTTCCAACTTCTCTAACAGCACCTACTAATTTCCTTTTTATTTTTAATGAAAAGATATTTGAGATAATCGACCACCGTCCTTCTGAGCTGTGACTTACACGATTGCACGCCATAGGGATCTAAGCAACCCCTTCTCTCCTTTATTCCAAAGCTTACCCACACACCGACAAAAATCCAATAAAGCAATCCACTATCTCACCCCCCTTGGCCCCAGGCCGCTTGCAACCTCCCTTCTTTATATAAGTCCCAAGGTGCTTCTCTAACCCTCCCTCTTTCTTTTCCTCTCTTCTTCTTCTCCCTTTTCTCCTGCTAATTACTTTCTTTCCTTTTTCCTTCGCCTTTCCTTGTGTTTCAATGGGTTTCTTTGTAGAGGATCCAGGGCTAATTGTAACCCATCTTCTTTACAAAACGGCTGTTGTTTTAGCAGTGTTGAGATGGGTCCTGTCTTGGGTTCTTAGGTTTAGAGACATAAGCTTCTTCACTACTTCATCTGACTCCCAACCCAACCCTTCGTCTTCTTCTTCTTTTTCCTTGGTTTCTTCACAAATGATTAGGGACAGTCTTGTGCTGACGACCTTCGAAGATGCTAAGGAACGAGTGCCTTGGGTTTCCGACACCTGTGCAGTCTGCTTGAGCCAGCTGAAGGAAGGTGACGAAGTCAGAGAACTGAGGAACTGCTGCCACGTGTTCCATAAAGATTGCATTGACAGATGGGTTGACTATGATCAAGATCACGACCATGATTATGATTTTGATCACGATGATCATGAAGATAATCACAAGACTTGCCCCCTTTGCAGAACCCCTTTACTCACTTCATGTCAAAGCTTGGGCTGGCCTAAGAATGAACCCAGCTGGGCCGTCGAGCGGCTGCTCTACCTATTTGGGGATGATCTGCTTCCTTGAGAGCCACATAATCCATTCTCTATAGATTTTTTTTCCTTTTTTTTAACATTTTTTTTCTCAATTGATCGTTGAGATGGAGCTTGGTACAATAATTATTGTACATTTAGACAGTTTGGGCATGGTTAAAAAGGGTCAATTTTCTTTTTGAGGTAGGCCACAAAGTGGAAGGAAAAAAAAAAAAACAAAACAGTCAAGTCATCTAAAGCTTGACCCTTGGACTAGTTGTATATATAAATCAAATACTTCTTAGAATTTTTTTTTGTATTCTTTTCTCCTTTGCTTTTTAATTAACTATTAAATTTTTTCCTTTAATGATGGTAATTTCCACAAGATCATTGAATGTGAGCAATGGGGCTTGGCACTCTTGAATTAATAATTAAATAAAGAACAGTGTACATTTAGGATTCCTAATTTTTCCAGTTAGACCTTTCAATGAAAGAGTGAGTTGACAACTTTGGTCAAGAAAGTTTTGATCGATAATTTTGAGTCTTGTGGTAGTTTTCCTTTTTTTTTTCTTGGCTTCCTCTGGACAGCACACGATACTTTACTTTATATAAAGTATTTATTTTTCTTAATTTGATAGCTACTTTAATATAAGACTTTAATTAAAGTTGAATGATGAACGGGCTAAATTGCCTACTAAAGAATTGCAATGCTTAGAATTTAGTTGACCAAAATAGTGTTAAATTGGAATTTTGGGATAATTGGCTTCATGGTATGAGATAATATTCTATAATTTGGTTGCTACATGCTTCCTTTTTCTTCTTTTGGACCAATTTACACTGTTCTTTTTCATATGAAAAATCTAGGAAAAATATCTATGAAAATAGACAGCAGCTTCATTTGCACGGTATAGGAAATTTCCCTACTCATATATTATTCAAAAAACAAAAAGAAAGAGAGAGAAAGAGAAAAAAAAATGTGTGCTCAAGGTTGGATATGAGCCCATTTAGTTAAGGGCTGAGTTCCAAGGCAATACTCCGTCAAAGCCAGTTGGGTTCAGTTTTCGGGTTCCGCCTAAACCCGTTAAGCCCAATCTTTGCAAATGATCACGTCCAATTGACATAGTTAACCCGACCAAAAATAAAATCATTTTGCAATTAGTTAAACTTTTATTCAAAGCAATTGATTGATTTTAGAGCATATCCTAATTATTCAAAATATAAAGCTTCTATTTCCTTCGAACTCATCTATTCAATAAATTACAATGGTTTTTTCCCCCTCGTGCCTGTTTTGTATACAAATTTAACGTTAGTAAAAAGTAAATTAAATTGTCGAACTAATTCCACTAATAAATGTTGTAACTTTTTTATTTGTTGATTTATAAATTAAAATTTGATTGAGGTGCCAATTTAAAAACTTTGTTTGAAACATGTGGGCTAATTCGAAAAATAACATTTAAAAAAAATTTGACAACATTTATACTATTATTCAAAATTGTCCTGATGAATAGAGAGCAATGGATGTTGACACGTGTCTTTAATTGAAATTGATGGAGAGTTTCAAGCTAATTTTGAATATTTTGAGTTTATATTTGTTAAGACTTCAATCTTCACTGTTTTTACATATTTGAAGGGCCCTTTCTCTAATTAGATTAAAACTTAGAAGAACTTTTTTTTTTATGTTGTATATTTGTACATCCGTTTATCCTATATATATTTGCAAAGAATGGAAACAAGCTTTCAAATAAGTTAATCACTATTGCATAGAATAAGGATTATTTTTTTTTTACTTAAGCATGTGAGTTTGTTTTAAATGAGTAATATAATATTAAAATGAAATTGTTATGATTTGTTATCTTAATTGGTAATTAATTGAATTAAAATTAATCAAAACATATTGAATTCCATCAAAATTTATTTTTTTATCAAATTATTAAGCTATAAAATTAGTTGAAAAAAATTAAAAAAAAAGAAAACAAGAAAGAAAATATCAGGGCAGAACCGGAATAGAACAAAAATTGGTGGTCCAAATAAAACCCGGGCGTCGTCTGGGCTCGTCGCAAATAAGCCCAGTAGAGACAAAAACCACTGGTTTAACATTTTCGTGCAGATTATTCTGTTCAACAGATCTGCTCATTTCTTTCCAGATCTTCATGGTTTTTCACTCCAATTTCTTCTCTCTCGAAACAAATTGAAAAACGCGGTAACTCCTCTGCTCTTCTCTCTGTCTCCTCTCCTTGCATGTACTCGTAGATCCTAACTCACTTCGACGACGATCTGGCTCCATTCCTCTAATCAACGGCTAATTTCTCTGCTTCGGCAATGAATTTTTCGTTTTAGCATTTAGGTGAGAGAGAGAAGGAAACTCTGGAACTATCGGTTTCGAAGCATCGGAGAATAGAGAAACAAAATGGCGGCAGGTGGATTTGTGAGCCGAGCATTCGAGTCGATGCTCAAGGAATGTGCCGGCAAAAAGTATCCTCATCTTCAAAAGGCTATTCAAACTTATTCAGGTCAGATCTGTTTCCATTTTATCTGGTAATTGTGGTCTAATTAGTAATTATAATTTTATTTTTTTATAATCTGTTTCCATTTTACTGTTTTTTTTAGTCTAATTTTGATTCATGGCGAATTAACCGGGATTGCGAGTTTAAGAAGTTTTAGTTTTGAATTGTGCTGTGTTGATTTTTCTAGTGCATTAGCGGTTATTTAGTTATTTAATCTTCGTGTTCCATATTTGATGGCGTTCAACTATGTTATTACTTAAAATGTAGTTAGAATGGTAGTTGGAGATACTAAAGTAGGGTTTACGAGTAGTTGCATTGTTTATAGGTTATAATCTGTTTTAGCATTAGATTAAGAAACTCGGGTTCTATGGAGTAATCGGATGACTTTCTTTTTTAAGTAATTAATTTCACATTTTTTATTAGAAAATGAGTTTTCTGTTTTAGAAGATGAACCTCTTGTCTGATGGATTTTAGTAGGGATGTTGTAAGTGACATCTTTGTGTATTTCAAAATGATTTTTGCAGAAATGGAAGAATGAAACAAATAATGACAAGCAAAATTGATAATGATCTTGGGTTTTTTTTTTGTTATAATGGATTGTCGAGTTGGTCTTTTCTTCTTTTTTTCCCTGTGATTGACTAATTCTTTAGAAGACAATTTCTGATGGGGTTGACACATGAAATAGAGGAAGTATGGTATTAAGAAGAAAAAGAGGGTGGGAGACTAAGGACGTGGGGCCTTAACATCCTACTGTGCACTATTCTCTATGCATTAATATATGACATCTTCACTGGTTTGGTTTTATATGTGAACTTATCTCTTCCTGTAATTTCATGTTGTCTTCTTGCTCATTGGTTATAGCATTCATCTAGTTACCTTTTTTTTTTCCTTTAATTATATTCTTCCATTTCTTCAGATAGTCCAAAGCAAGCAAAACAGCATTCTTCATCCAGTGAGACAAATCAAGCAGCATCTTTGGCTGGAGATGGAAGGTTTATATCTGTTTACAATCTCATAATATAGTAGTCGTTCTTGTTCTCACTTGATTTATTCCTAGTTTCTTACCCAGGATATTAACCAATGAAATAGCGTTTTTATCATTTTCTTTTTGGTCTATTAGTTTACTTATTCTTCGTTTAGTTCAGAGCTGAAGCTTTTGTCTGTCACTATGGCCTTTGTGAGATTTAGCAAACTAAAACTCTAAATGGCCTTGTTAAAAATGATATGGAATTGTTATTATTGCCGTAATGTGATCATGACTGATACTATAACTATTGCACATGCCCTCTAATTTTTGTTTTTGATTTTACTTATAGTTCACTTGAAACTGAAACTGGAGCTGAAAAAACTGGAATAGAACCTGATGGATCAAGCACACTTTCACAAAGTGCTGGGGATACAGAGCATGTTAGTAAGCCAACTGGTGGAAGTGGAACCATCACAACTGCCTTAGCAAATGCTGGATACACCTTGGAAGGGGCTGAGGTGGAGCTTGTTCTGAATCCTCTTCGACTCGCATTTGAGACAAAGAACTTAAAAATCCTTGAACCTGCTTTGGATTGTCTTCATGTATGTTGTTGCTTTCCTTCTTGATCTATATTCTGAATGTTTATTTTCTACATAATGGTCTTCTCTACGGTTTTTATAGGACATCAAGGGAAGTCCTAATCTGTCTGAAAGCCTGTTATATATATATTCCAAAAGGACCTCCTAATTTTTGTTCAATTTGTTTTTGGAAATTTTAATGCCTTTTTTTTCTGCATAATAATTACTGACATGATCATCTTTAATTCCATAAGCACAGAAACTAATTGCCTATGATCATCTGGAAGGAGATCCTGGTTTAGATGGTGGTAGAAATGTTCCTCTGTTTACAGACATTCTGAATATGGTCTGCAGTTGTGTTGATAATTCTTCTCCTGACAGGTATGTGCTATCGTGTTTGTTAACCTTGTTTATAGCATATGTTACTTGTTACGCATGTTTAATTCTTGCAAACAATTTGCAGTACAATCCTGCAAGTCCTGAAGGTGCTTCTTACTGCTGTAGCATCCACAAAATTCAGAGGTACATTGTCCAGGATCTAGTGGTATTCTTGTCTGTTTTATTATCTAGTATTTGAACTCAGTCATGTTACAATATTGCTAATTCAAAATGCAGTCCATGGGGAACCTTTGCTTGGAGTTATCAGAGTATGCTACAATATTGCTCTTCACAGGTACTTCTTGGATTTGTCGAAGATAGTGATAGTCCAAATTAAAGTAGTTCTCATGAGTTGTGGCTTTGATGTGTAGCAAGAGTCCTATAAACCAAGCGACATCAAAGGCAATGTTGACACAGATGATTAGCATCATATTCAGAAGAATGGAGGCTGATCCGGTTTGGAATTTATATTTCTAATCTTTCATTATTTTTTTCTCCATGATATATCAGGAAGAAAGTTGAAGATGTCTTTTAAATGGGTTTCAGGTCTCTACTTCATCCGGTTCCTCTGATCATACTGAAGTTGCTTCTTCAGAGAATTCTACCTCAAAGGCTGAAGAAGCTTCCTCAGCTGACCAAAATGAGAATGAAATGACTTTAGGGGATGCACTTAATCAGGCCAAGGATACGACACTTGCATCTGTTGAGGAACTTCACAACCTTGCTGGCGGTGCTGATATCAAGGTGCATCCTTTTATTTACTATAATTTGTTTTGATTCATTTGACTTGTAGGCCTCTCAGTTATGTAGCAAATGCTGGGTGTTTGCTTTTAGTGAAGTTTTCTTTTGGTCTTGTATGGTTCTTAACATGGTACTTATGTGTCTTATAGGGTTTAGA